AAAAAAATAAAAATAACTGCTGAGGGCAGTGCCTGTTGCTCAGTGGGTAGGGCAACGGCTCCATATACTGAGGGTGGGAGGTTCAAACCCAGCCCCAGCCAGCTAAAACAGCAGTGGCAACTCCAATAAAAAATAGCTGGGCATTGTGGCAGGAGGCTGTCGTCCCAGCTACTCAGGAGGCTGAGGCAAGAGAATCGCTTCAGCCAAGGAATTGGAGGTTTCTGTGAGCTGTGACACCATGGCACTCTACCGAAGGTGACATAGTGAAGACTCTGTCTCAAAAAATTAAAAGAATATGGGTGGCACCTGTAGCTCAAGAGTCTAAGGTGCCAGCCACATACACCAGAGCTGGTGGGTTGAATCCAGCCCACGCCTGCCAAACAATGACAACTACAATCAAAAAATAGCTGGGCGTTGTGGTGGGCACCCACAGTCCCTGCTACTCAGGAGGCTGAGGTAAGAGAGGTTGCTGTGAACTGTGACACCACAGCACTTTACCCAGGGTGATAGCTTGAGGCTCTGTCTCAAAACAAAAATAAAAAGAATAACACCCGGGTGTTGTAATAGACACCTTTAGTCCCAGTTACTTGGGAGGCTGAGGCAAGAATCACTTTGAGCCCAAGAGTTTGAGGTTGCTGTGAGCTATGACACTGTGGCATGCTACCGAAGGCGACAAAGTAAGACTCTTGTCTCAAAAAAAAAGAAGAAGAAAGCAAGCAAGCTTATGACAGGGTGGGCCGTGCTGGCTCACTCCTATAATCCTAGCACTCTGGGAGGCCCAGGTGGGTGAACAGCCTGAGCTCACAGGTTGGAGACTAACCTAAGCAAGAGTGAGAGACCTCATCTCTAAAAATAGCCAGGCACTGTGGCAGGCGCCTGTAGTCCCAGCTACCTGCGAGGCTGAGGCAAGAGGATCCCTTGCGACTAAGAGTTTGAGGCTGCTATGAGCTACTAGGCCACAGCACTCTACCAAGGACAACAAAGTGAGACTCTGTGTCCAAAAAAAAAAAGAAAGAAAGAAAAGGAATGAAAAAAAATTTGTTGTTTTACTAGAGAATCACTTTAAAATAGTGAATATCCTTTAATTATTTCTAAAAGAAATAGGTTGACTCCATTTTCTATGGTTTACCTCACAAAACTGGAATTACACTGTTTCCCAACTTGTTTTCATTTAAAAATGAGTATTCCCACAGCCTCAAATCGTAGCTTTTTGACTAGAATCCATCCCCAGGGTCAAAGTTAAAAATTATGTGCTGTAATAATATTCTTTCTCCGTTTCTTCCCCTCTATGACTCGAGGTCAGGAAAGAACAGTAAACTATTCACAGTAGCTATGTGTGATAAATACCCTGAGACAAGTGGGGACCTAATAAGATTCAAACCTTAAGCCAAAGAAAGACACATTAGTAGTGACACTTCAAGCGCTATCTTATGGATGTGACCTTACTGGAGGAGGCAAATCTCCTAAAATTCGCGCCCCTAGTTATCTATTTTACCTACAAGAAAGGCTCGCTTCGTTTTTTAACAAAGCTAAAATGAAAGTGGAAATTTCGCGACTCAACAAAATAACTTCATTAGATGAGTTCATTAAAATCAGCACCCCCGGGCAGAACTGGCTTTATCAAACAGATAAGCACGTACCGCGTACGACGAACGCACTTAGTGGGACAGCTACTAAAGCAAACTCGATCAGAAAGACCAACGCTAAAGGGGGCACGTGGAGGGCAACGAGGAAATGAGGGAGCTTTGACCATTATCAGGCAGGTGTCTGAGCAGAAACCTGTGCTGCATTATTTAATATTTAATCTTTCTATTCCTTGCATCACCGGGCTCTAACGTCACCAAAAGATAGGCTGGCAGAAAACCCGACAAGATGACGCACGGAACATTTTACCATATGGATTCTCATCAGTCAGACCGAGGAGCGCCCCATGCCTCCCCATTCCTCCCCAGTGAAGCAAGGAGGTTGGCCTGGGCCATCAGCTCCCCAACACTTGGCGCACAGCTCTGGGCTGCACGCCGGGCTCGGAGGCTGCAGGACCACAGCGGGCGCCTCAGGGGCCGGCTCGGGCCGCAGGAACTGCGGACTCCCAGCCGGGAATGTGGCTGTGCGGCCGCGAACGCCAAACACCTAGGGTCAAATGCCGGCCGCAAAACCAGCTACAGCCCAGGAAGGAGACCCCGCCACTACCCCCGGGAGGCTGCAGAGTCGAGAGTGCCAGCTGGGCACCCCGGACTGTTGGCCCCGAACCCTTTCCCCGGGCTTTAAGCCGCCCAGTTCGGTACCTGAAGGAGCAGCGCCACCCCTGCCCCACGGCGCCGGCTATCACGGCGCGACGGTCACCGCTCCGTGAGCCCGTGACGCCTCTCTTAAAAACAACAACCTGCTCCCAGGCGTCCGCAGCCGCGAGGCCGTGGCCGGGGGGCGCCGCAGCGCAAGCCGGGACTCGTAGTCCAGTCCTCGCCTCATGCAGGGTAGC